TGAAGAAAGCAGTGAAGTTATAGAAGAAGAGAGTGCACCAAATTCAACATGCCAAAGTGCACTTCAAATTCTTCTAAAATATGGTATAGCACATCCTGCTGCTTGACATTGCTTATTTATCTGGAAAACTAATATATAGCCCATTTTGTGTTTAACTACATTTTTGTAATTGTGTTGATTACTAGTAAGTATTCTATTTATTCTAATTTCTAATATTTTTGACATGTCACACCCCCAATCTAGATTCTAAGGGTTTTTTTAATTTTATTTCAGGAATACCAATAGCCCTCTTGCTTGTGACAGTCGCTGCAGCTCTACTCTTTTCTCATTGCAATGATGGAGGCAATCACACGGAAATGGTACCATTACTTGCCCAACACCACTACAACATAATCTTGGACTTAATGGAAGAGGAACAAGGTTAAGATTAATCTGAGAGCTATATATACTGTTATTGAATAAAAATGTTATTATACTTTATTGCTTTCAGTTACTTCACAATCTTTAGATACTATGGACTACCTAGATCTCATTTCATTGCCAAACTTTACTCATGATTATGAGTACCTAGATCTCATTTCATTGCCAAACTTTACTCATGATTATGAGTATCTGACTGGTGAGCTTACAGGATATTACCGTATGGAAGGAAATTTTGGAGGTAGTTAAATTTGGCGAATTTGGCGTTTTGATAGCCATTCGCCAAAATAAAAATTCGCCATTTTGAGCCATTATACGCATGCTCAATGGCACCTGGCCACAAATTCGCCAAATTAAAATTCGCCAATAACCAAAATTTAGCAATTCGCCAAAATTTAGTCCCTCCAAAATTTCCTTCTGTACGGTATTGTAATGTTAAAAATAGAATAATACAGTTATTTAGAATTAAACCCTGTCAAAATAAAGTTGGCTTTTTGATAGCTATTTCAGGAATATAATACATCAGAATGTAATAAATATTGAGCGTGATTTTGGAGTCATTTTTTGGACAAAACCATGGGCTTTAGTACAGGGATATTTTTCAGAAATTGACTCATTTTAAAATACGGCCATAACTCAAAAATTTGAACTCAGAAACTTTCTGCACAGCACAAGCACATCAATATGTATCAGAAAATGTAATAAAAATTGGGGGTGATTTTGGAGCCATTTTTGAAAAAACCATAAATTAGCTCATCATTAGTTGTTGTTATTACAGCCAGTGTAGTGAGTATGCATGCATCTGTATACCAATATTTTAAAAAAGAAACCAGTGTTATACATAAATACTATTGCTACCTCTAATGGTATATTTATAGTGCAAAAAGATGATGATGATGCAAACATTATGATGGCCATAGTTATGGACATTCATTGGTATGGTATCACTATGCGTGATATGGACTACTCGTATAATATTGATATTCCTGGCGTTAATGAAGCTCGAGAAGGAGAATTGTTGGAACAAACAGTTTCATTTGAGAATTGTAAAATTATAAAACTAGTAATAATAAATTTTTAAAATTTCTTTTATTTAGTTATTTACTTTGAAATTTATTTGTTTTCACTTAAAGACGAATCCAGCTTTATTGTAAGCCATTCATCGATAACAATAATGAATATTATACTATATTATTACTAGTTTAATGAATCAGCATATGCTTTTCATTTGGACTCAACCTTTAAACCTGAAGGGAGTAAATTTAGTCTTGGCTATACGTATACTCTCAATGGTGATATTCGAAATGAAGATCTTGATTTTCTATTCCT